ATCTTACATGTCATTATTCATGGTACAGGGACAGTAGATACAGTGGTCCAAGAGCATCATCTTTACCAGTTGATGAGCAGCAAAGAATGCAACACTACAATCAAATGTTGTCTGGTAGAAACATTCAGCAGTCCAGCTTGTCTGTACCTGGAGCTCTTGCGGGAACTGATCGTGGAGTTCGTTTGGTACCTGGTGCAAATGGTATGGGCATGATGTGTGGGGTGAATAGAGGCATGCCGATGTCAAGGCCTGGGTTTCAGGGAATGACTTCCTCATCTATGCTGAATTCTGGGAGTATGCTTTCATCCAGTATGGTGGGGATACCAAGCCCTGTAAATATGCACTCTGGAGCTGGTTCTGGTCAGGGAAACTTGATGTTAAGACCTCGCGATGCTTTGCACATGATGCGGGTGAGTTATTGACACTTAGTGTGTTGCTATGTGCACTTGCCATTGATTGCAAAGATAATATCAAATGGTTCTTAGCCTATGATGCCTTCCTCCTCTAGGATCAAAGTTTTGCAGGTTGAGATAAAAATGTACTGAAGTTGCAATCTGTTCATTTTTTAAATCTGATTATTTTGTTCAATTTTTTCCTGCCACTTTGGGAGTGTGAAGTTGAAGAAGGAAGGCTAAGATCACATATGCCAAATTGCATAATGTCAACCATGTTTGTTACTTTTATCTGATTGTCTTTTTTTATTCCCACCACTTTAGGGGTGGTAAGGGGAGGAAGAACGGGGGAAGAAAGGGGGAAGAAAGGGGTAGGTTTGTCTTTTGGGTGTTTAATGTTGGTTACTTTCAGTTTGTTGGTTCTCTGCCTCTTGTCTGTTGTTTGTAACAAAATGCGTCCTGAAGTCTGAAATTGTCGCATGTGTACGTTTGATTTACTTAGGTTTAATGACCTGCTGGGTAGTGGATCCCAACTAGAACATAAGTAAGTTTCATGGATTAAAAGTTAAAATCTTAGCCCTCGCCCTCTCTAAGCTTGTGTTAGCGGGCTTCCGCACTAAATTGATTTAGTGTTCCTCTCGATTTTAAAATAATCTCTTTCCATTTCACTGCTTTTCTAGATTGCCATTCTCAGCGGACACTTTTGATAAGAACTTTTTATTGTTTCATTTTCCCCCTCAGTAGTTTCTGTGTTCCGCTTGTAATTGTCCTGATCTACCAAGGCTTTATGTTTGACTGAGTTTTTCTGTCATAGCCTGGGCATAATCCGGAGCATCAAAGGCAACTTATGGTTCCAGAGCTTCAGATGCAGGTTACACAAGGGAATGGCCAAGGTATTGCTCCATTCAATGGGTTGAGTTCTGGTTTTCCTAATCAGACAACTCCACCATCTGTTCAAACATATCCAGGTCATGCCCAGCAGCAACATCAGGTATCCCCACAGCAGTCTCATGCACTCAGTAGTCCTCATCACCCTCATCTTCAAGGCCCCAATCACGGTACGGGGCCGCAGCAGCAAGCCTATGCCATCCGTATTGCGAAAGAGAGGCAGCTGCAGCAACAACGGTATTTGCAACAACAGCAGCAGCAGCAGCAGCAGCAACATCAGCAGCAGTTTGCTGCATCTAATTCCTTGGTGCCACATGTCCAGACACAGCCCCAACTTCCCATTTCATCAACTTTGCAAAATAATTCCCAAATTCAGTCTCAAACTTCACCTCACCCAGTATCTCTGTCCCCTATGACTCCGTCTTCCCCGATGACTCCCATATCATCCCAGCAGCAACAGAAACATCACCTGCCGCTGCATGGGCTTAGCCGGAATCCTGGTGCAGTTGGGATGACCAGTCAGATGGGGAAGCAACGACAAAGACAACCCCAGCAGCACCATCTTCAACAATCTGGCAGGCACCACCCTCAACAGCGGCAACTTGCCCAGTCTCAGCAGCAGGCTAAACTTTCAAAGGGAATGGGAAGAGGGAATTCAATGTTGCATCAGAACCTCTCCATTGATCCTGCGAACCTCTCCATTGATCCTTCTCATCTGAATGGGCTTCCAATGCCTCCAGGAAGCCAAGCTCTTGAGAAAGGAGAACAGATCATGCAGTTGATGCAAGGTCAAGGTGCATATTCCGGGTCTGGCATGAATTCTGGCTTGAATCCAGTAACATCGAAGCCATTGGTCCCACAATCACCAAACCATTCTCAGTTGCCGCAAAAGTTACTTTCTAGCTCACCTACTCCTTCATCAAAGCAACTCCAGCAAATGCCTTCTCATTCTGATAACAGCACTCAAGGCCAGGTTCCGCCAGTTCCCTCTGGTAATACAATATCAGCTTCACATCAAGCTGTCTCCCCATCAATTAAGGGTTCCAACCAGCAGCAGCTGCAGTCGCAGCAACAGGCACAACAACAGAAGCAAGCTAATCAGACTCAGACTTATGTTCAGAGAGTGCTCCAGCAGAATCGTCAAGTAAATTTAGAGATTCCAAACAAGTCTCAAAATGATCTAGCTCAGGTTGATGAGCAACCTGTCAATGGCACTTCACAGGTGGGTGTGAGCATGGCAATTCCTCAGTCCAGTATTGATTCATCTAATGTAGTACCAGTTCCTTCTGCCATAACTCCTCAGTGGAAATCATCAGAACCAGTGTATGATTCTAACATGTCAAATTCAACCACTCAAGTGGGTCCGATTGGGAGCCCACAACTAACAAATTCATCTGGGAATGAGCCTGTGCCACCTATCAGTCAAGGGTTAGGCCCTAGACAGTTATCTGGTAGCTTGCCCTCTCATGGGCATAATGTTGGAGCACAGTGGCAGCAACAGCAGCAGCAGCTACTGCAACAGTCTCCTTCGCTGCCATCCCCATCCCAACAGCATCATCAACAACAAGAACAGCAGCAGCAGGAACAACAGTCACCCCAACATCAATTGCCTCTGCAACAGCAGTCTCAAAAGCAAATGCAGCATCTGCAAGCAGGGCAAGGAAGTTTGTATATGATGACTGGTAATTCAAAACCAGAATGAATGATTCTAAGGAATTGAGCAGCCGCAGCAACCGGTCCTGCCAGGGTTGGATCCGCATGCCCTTGGTACAGTGGTGTACAGGTTAGTTACTATTTAATTTCATGTTGTATATCCATAATATTAGCATCATATTCATGAAAGAAGAAATTGATTGCTTTTCTCCTTTTCAAATCAATTCTTAAAAGCTTTTGTACCCCTTTTTTGGTTGTTTTCTTATTGTCTTTCTTCATAGTAAGATTCGACTTTGAATTCACTGTTGCAGAGTATTATTGCATGGGTGCTAGGCTGCCGTTTCATATTTTGTGTTTTGTGCAAACAATTTTTGGGTTGTCTAATATATATATATATATTTGTGGGATTTAAAGGAGTGATGTATTTCTATCTAAAAGGTATCTGATTCTAGGGTTGGGTTTGGTGCAGATGAAGCTGATTATTCCATAAGGGCATCAACAGGAAGAGCTGGTCATGGTATTTGCAGGTTTTGTTAAAAATTTAGCTGAACTAGTGAAGTGATGTTGCAAAGGCATTTTCCTTTTGTTTTTGGAAAAATCTTGTAAATTTACCACTGGTCTAGAGCTCTGGGAAGATAGAGACTGATATAGAGGTACGTGTACAGAGGTCTCTTATCTTTCCTTTTTCTAGTGCCTGTTTCTTTTAATTTTTTTCCCTTATTTTTTTTTTGTTTATTTTCCTTGGTCTCCCCGCAAATTTGTGGAGGGTGGCCCTATTTCTTTTTGCCCCAGTAGATTAGCGCATGTATTAGTACCCTTTCAGATTAAGGGGGTTGCAATCATTTTTATGGGCAAAAGCCTTTTGCAAATCTTGTGAATATTTAGATGTCTGATGTAATACATTGGTCAATGGGATTAGAAAATATCAATCATCTGTGACTGCCATGTGCTACCTGGAATTACTGTAACTTGTAACGGTTCTCAGTCTTATAATGCAACGAGTCTTGATAGCTCATCCATATCTGATGTTTTTATAAAGGCGGAAGTATCTGCAACGCCAATTATTTTCTGTTTTGAACATAGTGCTGGAAACTCTGCCTGAAAAAGAAAAAACAGTCGGGACTTGGCAGCGCCATTATATCTCATGTTTGATTTCAGTTACGAACTTTCAGTATTGATGCCGGTTCTTGTTAGACTCATTCCTTGGAGATTTGTATATATGTTTGAGAGAATACTCATAAGTAGATAATGTTTTCCTTTCCTTTATTTTTCAAGCCATCGATGGTCCGTCACATGAGGCATTGAAGAGGGTATCTTTTGCTCATACTGACCAAGAACTTTTACAGACAGCCTGCTATTTGTTTGGTAGCCTTTAAAGATAGGAAACAAAAGAGGAGCTTTGGGGCCCAAATTCTAAGTCATAATTTTACTCTTATCAGCCAAGCCTTTTTGGTTAAAAATGGAAATATTTAGTCTTGAAAAATTAAAAAGTACAATCTTTCACCACCCTCTTTGTCTTGGACACAGCCCATAGGCTAGTCACTGTTTCAAATCTCAATTGTAAAAGAAAGCCAGAAGGTAAACAGCAGTAGTCTCTGATATGTGCTTTCACTTCCTAACCATAGTTTTCTTAGAATTCAAGGAGCCCTAGGTCGGGTCCCGCGGCAGGGAGGGAGTGATATGCCTAAAAGAAGCAACATGAAATCTTTAACAAACCTTTCAAGGAGACAGATTCACATGCATTGTGAGAGCCATGGCCAATAAATGTGCTAAAAATAACCAAGCAAGTGCTTCTCTGGTTTGACCAATGTGCAAGGACGTGGGCTAAAAGAATGCATCACATCAACTCTTTGGGCAGGGGTCTTTAACAAGCAAGCATATTATGATACTAGAGAAAGGAAAATAGAAAGAAGAAAGGCAAATAGTTAGATTGGTCCCAAAACCCTAAAATGGGATACTCAATTATGGTCAAGCAACCAAGAACACAAGCAAACCAGAAGCTACTTATAGCAAAATTAAGCATAACAACTAGAACATTAAACTTAAGGCTGAATTTGAAGCCAATCATTCCCAAGGTTTCTGATCAAAGCATGAAAATTTATTAGCTATGCTAGGAAAACTACCACTAGAACTAGAATAATAACAATTGCACATAATGGGATTGAATCCCTCAACAAATTAGACCCAGAACTATTCTACAAATTCTGGGTTTCAACTGTCAACTATACAAATCCAATGGAACAACAACACAGCTAAAAAGATCATAAGTTTACAACAAAAAATAAAGATTGAACCTTCAAAACAGATTAACTTGATAATGAGCAACAAATCATCATGATTAGCTACTCAACTTGTTGGTAGAAGAGCCAAAGGCCTTGTCAATGGAGTCAACAATCTTTTGCTGGGATTGCAGAATCATATCAATCCTCCTCTTCTCCATCTCCAATCTACACCTCTCTGTTTCCTTCATGATCTCCATCCTCGTGTTCTCAACCCCAATGAACCTATTCGCAAAAGCCCTAATTTCGTCTGCTAATTCCACAGCCATCTCTCCCCCCATCTGGGGCGGCTCCACCACATCGCCATTGTAGCCACCGCCACCGTCCACCGCGTCTCTCGATCTCTTGGCTGCCGCTGCCATCGCCGCTGTGTCCTGCCAAAACGAGGCTTGTCCTCCAGAAAACCTATTCACAATCGTGGGCCTCCGTAGTATGTAATCAATACTCCGCACCTTACTGGAATTCTCCTCATCATCATCCTCACCATCAACATCAACGCCATGACGCTGCGCTTCTTCTTCTTCTTCTTCATCTGGCTGATATGGCATCACAGCCATGGGTCTGGAGGAGATGGGCATGGGCCCGCGCTCCAAGCTCTCCATGAGCTCGAAGAAGGGCCAACGCGATCTCGACCCGGGCCGGAGGCGCTTCTTCAGTGTACGGTGCCGTTGCCGGAGCTTCTCCATCTTGTGACGGCACTGAGTGGCGGTCTTCGACTGCTCAGCGTGCTCGTAGCCGCATCGAGCCGCCACCGTCACCGCCACCTCCTCCCATTGGCTCGACTTGAGCGGACCTCTTCTCAGCTTGTACCACTTTTCCTGGTAGGCCCGGATCATCTGCACCGTCTCTTCGTGCGTCCATGGCAGAGGCTGGGCCTTCTTGGTGGAGACTGGCGAGGCAGGGACCGAGGCCGAGGCTGAGGCCGTGGGCGAGGGCGGGGGTGGTGTGGACATTGTTCTGATGTCTAGGGTTAGGGTTTGATGGGAATTGGGGGATTTTGTGTTGAGTTTTGTGGAGGTGGTGGTGGCGGTGACGGTGGTGGTTATGGTTGAGAGAGGGTTGATTTTGGGTGGGTGCCTTTTAAGTTTAAGTCAATGGATCCGAACCCGTATTTGACATTTTAAAAACAGTATTTGGGCTTTATTTGTACGGAACGACCCGCAATTCGAACCCGAAGTTAAACAAGTGCAACGTCAAATGATTGAATATTTTTTTTTCCAAGGTCAAATGATTGAATTGGATTGGATGTATAATATGATTCAAGTTCTATGTGGGGCCCCATATTGAGATTTTAATTTATACATTTTTGTTTTTGTATTAATTTTGTATTTTCTACATTACTGATTTTTTTACATGATGTTACATTTACTTATGTTGCGTGTAGTACAGGGAGAAAATTTTCAGCTAGTTCTTGGTTCAGTGGTATTTCTCTTTCCTTTTCTTGCACTCTAATTGGTAAAAAAAGAGACCATTTTATTGTTATTTCATGCTTAGTTTCTGGTCCAAAGAGAGCAAAGGGCATATTAGAAAATTTCAATTAGGTAGATTAGAAAAGGGTACAAAAGATGGATATATCTTAAGAAATAAAAAAACAAAGGAACGTATGAAAAGTGATCATCTTTCGTCCACATTGATGTGATCCTTTTTCAACACATTGTAACGCAATAAAATATTTTTTTTATTATAAAAAAATATGAATAAATTGTAACTGAGAAAAAATTTATGAAGAAAGTACTTCCATCTGTATCTTTAAAAAGAATACATGGCCTTTTATCCAACAGTTAAATAATCCCAATTCACCCATTTTGGTTTCCTTTTTTGGGTAATGGCGGGGACGGGGACCACACACGTTTGTTGCATTTTTTTGAAAATGCTTCTGTTGCTTGTTTTGGACATAAGAAAAGTGCAAGCTTCTGTTCTTCCTTTCATGTAATTACTAAGTTGATAGAGAGAGAGAGTCAAAGATATCAGATAAAGTTGGGAGAGGAAGATACAGAACAGATAGAGAATCATGGGTTATTAATGGCAATGCAAGGGAACCAGTGTTTCTTTTAAAATATCACCCAAAAAAAAAAGAGGGAATCATTTTCACTTTGTTATACAAAAATTCAAACTATACATTCTTCAAAGCTTCAAGCTTCCCTAACATGGAGCACTCTAATCCTGAAATGGGCCTCACTGGTCTTGATCATTCGTCTAAGAAAACTCAATCTCCTCCAAATCCCAACCATTTCATCCCCAGAAGGTTTTCCCTTTTCTCCTTTTACCTTTTGTTAAAATGTTTGTTTTTTTCAAAGGTAGAAACTTTGAAAATTTTGTATGTGTGTGTGTCTGTGTACAGCTACCAAGTGAAAGTGTTTGAAGTTGCAAAGCAAAAGAACACGATTGCAGTGTTGGAAACCGGTGCTGGGAAGACCATGATAGCTGTGATGCTAATCAAACACGTTTCTGAAGATATGACCAAGTCCAATGGCAAAAGAAAGCTGATAATTTTCTTGGCTCCAACCGTTAATCTTATCACTCAGGCAATTATCACTTCTACTGTTGCAATATTCTATATATATATATATGTAGTGTTTAGGAGCCTTTTATCATTGAAATGCTGAATTAGTGCCTTTTTGTTAACAGCAATTCAAGGTTATCAAAGATTCTACAACTCTTGAAGTGGGAGAGTACTATGGAGCCAAGGGAGTGGATGAATGGAGTAGGAGCTGTTGGGAAATGGAAGTTCAAACACATGATGTAGGTTTCCCTTCCTCTATAACTATAACTCAAATAATAAAATAAAGTTTTGGGTGTGTTTTAAGAGAAATAACATAAAGGTCAAGAAAACTCTCCCTTTAAGTGTAGCATGGAATTGTTGTGGATCTCAGTGTTAGTTTCCTCTGTTACCATTTCTTAGACTATTCTTTGTTTGTGCATTTTATGTCAGTATTTTGACATTCTTTTTTAGTTAGATTAAAAGTTTATTCAGTATTATCCAAGTGATGCTTAATCAGTTTTTCAAGTACATATGATGGTATTTCTGAGATTTAGAACTACTGATTTTTCGTTCTTCTTCTTATCTTGTAGATACTGGTGATGACACCACAAATTCTCTTGGATGCCTTGAGGAATGCATTCTTGAGCTTAGAAATGTTTTGCTTATTGATCTTTGATGAATGCCATCGTGCTACTGGCAATCATCCCTATACAAAAATAATGAAGGTAGTTGCTAAACAACTCCCACTTTTAATTTTGTTTTATTCAAATAATGTGAATACACTTAAATGATTAGTATCTTCTTTTGGAGAAGGAATTTTATCATACATCCGGGAACAGGCCAAAGATTTTTGGAATGACAGCATCCCCTGTTATAAGAAAAGGTAAGATATTTGGTGTTTCTGCATACGATTATCTGATGTTTTGTTGGCACAGATAGGTGAACTCAATTCTCTGCATGCCTTCAATGTGGTTAATACAAAACACTGCATTTACCACAATCTGAGAAATCTTGAACCTCACTTATTACCACCAAAAATCATCCCATGCCTCTACAATCTTATACATTATTACAATTTGCTGCATGTTCATTATCAAGCTAGTGTTATTTTACAATATGCTATGCAAAATTATGAAGACAACCTTCTCTGCATATCAGGTGTCTCATCCACCATGGACTGTGAGAATCAAATATCAGCACTCGAAAGCATCTTGGATTCTCAGGTATTTTGAGTTTTTCATGTCTTGATTATTCCCCACTTATTGTCAAAATTAGCCTCTAAATGTCTATGTATCTTGATATGTGCTGGTAAAGGTTTATGCTATAGAAGACAGGGCAGAAATTGAAGCATATATTCCCTCAACAGTCCAAACTTGTAGATTTTATGAGAAAGCATGGTTACTCATGAATTTGGGTCTGAAAGGCGAGATGGAAGCTTTGTGGTCTAAGGTAGTCCTGCATCATATCAAATATGTCATACAAAAGAATATACAGAATATATGTTTTTGCTATAAAAAAAATGTTATTCAGTCTTAGCTCTCAGTTATGTACTTATGGGAATACTAAGAGGTATTTAACTGCATGGACAGTATGCTTCTATGTTAGAGTTGCAAAGGGAAGTGCCAAGTCAGTACCAGTACTACCAGGACATTGATGATAAAATAAAGATGCTGAGAAAGCGGATGTCCAATGACTACATGAAGATTTTATATTGCCTTAATGACCTTGGCCTCATATGCGCATATGAGGTATGGTTGTTCTCTAGCTAAGTACAAACTGAAAAGCAAAAAAATAAAGAAAAATGAAAGGAGGAATGTGATCTGTTTGGTGTGTTCCTTTTTTTCTTCTTCTCTCGTTTAAGATTTTTTCACTTGGTAGAAAACCCTTTCTTAGAATTACTTATATGGTTTGAATCCACTCAGAACATTAAGAAAACCCATGAACAAACAGAGCTTCAGTTTTAAACTCTACTCACATCGTGACGGTCTTACCTTGCTTAAACTTAAGTCTGTCTAAAGAATGCCTCTGATGTCGAAGAAGAGTCTCAATTTTACAGTAGAAGAGAATGGCTCTTCCACTATTTGAGTAAGGTTTAAAATCGAAGCTCTGTTCGTTCCTGGGTTTTCTTAATGTTCTGAGTGGATTCAAACCATATAAGCAATTCTAAGAAAGGATTTTCTAGAAAGATATGTCACTGATGGAGCTTCCAACAATCATGTACTTAACTCAAAGACAAGTCACTAGTGGAGCTTCCTATAATTATAACTCAAGGACGAGTCACTAGTGGTGCTTCCTATTTTCAATCTTTTTTTCAGATCTTCATTTTTTTTGTTCTGATTTCGTACTTTTACATGATAATACCCTTTTTTTGTAGGCTGTTAAAGTCTGTCTAGAGAATGCCTTCGATGTCGAAGAAGAGTCGCAATTTTATAGAGGAAGTTCTTTGAAGTTGAAATATTTTCTCGATGAAGTCTTACATATAATTGAAGGATTTCTTCGACCTTATATGCAGCTCGGTGAGTTTGTATCCTAATTTTGGATTGATATTTAGTTTCTTCTTATGATAAAAATTATAATAGTTCTTTAGTGATATCCTTCCTTCACACTGCTCAGGCAATAACATTTGTACAGATTTTGAGTTTGACTATATAAAGGCACACGATTTGGGCTACATATCTCCCAAGCTACATGAACTTCTTCAAATTTTCCAATCATTTGGGTAAATAGAACTACTTCACTGGTAAAGTCCTGTTAATTTTCTTATAAAGTCAATTGATCAGCCTGCTTTGCCATTGCAGAAGCGGTAGCCAAGTTCCATGCCTCATCTTTGTAGAGAGAATTATTACAGCTAATGTAATTGAAAGATATGTTAAGAAAGTACCATGCTTATCTCATTTCACGGTTTCATATTTGACCGGAAGTAACAAATCAGTTGGTGCACTTACACCAAAGTTGCAAAAGGAAACTTTGGAATCATTTCGCTCTGGGAAGGTACCTAATCTTTAACATGACAGATATCAATTTATATGAAGCTTTTGTGTGTTTGAAAACCATATAATCAGTGAGGAAACCCTTCTATCAGGTCAACCTATTATTTGCTACTGATGTAGTTGAGGAGGGAATTCATGTCCCAAGCTGTTCCTGTGTAATCCGTTTTGACCTGCCCAAGACAGTCCGTAGTTATGTCCAGTCTCGAGGAAGATGTCGAACAAGCGAGTCTCAGTTTATCTTAATGTTTGAAAGGTGAAGGTTGCTATTTGTTGTTTTATATAAAAGTCATTTTAAGTCTACCAAGATATGGGAGCTTGAGTTTTGGCGTACATATTTACAGGGGCAACAAGAAACAAATAGATCAAGTATTTGACATCATCCGGAGCGAGTATTCAATGACAGAGACGTCAAGAAACAGAGACCCTGAAGTATGCATTTTAAGAGACTGTAATTTTGAGGAAACAAAAGCATATTATGTAAACGCTACTAGAGCATCAGTTACAGCAGATTCTAGTGTCAGTCTCATACATCGATACTGCGAAAAGCTCCCTGGCGATAAGTATGGATATTTTCCCTTGTCACAAGTTCTATTATTCATTTGAGCAGTTGTTCTTCTACATTTTCTACATGATTATTGCAAAATGTAGGTATTTTATTCCAAAGCCAACTTTCGACTTCGAAATATCTGAAGGGTTGTACCAGTGTAAAATAACATTACCTCCTAATGCGGCTTTTCAAACAACAGTTGGTCCTCTGAGCAGCAACACTCATTTAT